CTTTCGGAACTAGGGAGTCCCTCAGATAATGAAAATTCTGAGAGGGACCACACCAATAAACGTTTAATGTCGCACAAGTTGGCTTACTGTTGCGCATGTAAAACAAAAAAAAGTAAAATCGTGCTCTGCACACTATACAAGTTTTAAAAAAGGGGAAAGTAAGTTACGCCGGCAGTAGATATCTAGTAGCTCTTGTCGCGCCACATTTTTTATTTCTTTTCAGATATGCAACTGCTTAAACATGCGTGCACTTTGACTTGACATTATTGGTTGTTAAAATAAATTTAATTGCACATTCGGCCATGGAACAAGCATTCTTCGTACTTTTAACCTTACATTAATCAAGGAAATTTGTTGAATGTTTGTTTAAAATACGGGCAACCCAGAAAATATAAAACATCTTAAACCCATCATCGTTCATAATCAGATCACGATTTAACGATGATGACATTGATATTTAAAGTTTGAAGTAATTTAGATTATTAGAGATGGAAAGAGTTACTGGAAAAAACGTCGGTGAGTGTTTTCAAAGCCAAAAATGAAAGCACTAAAAAAAAAAAAAAGAGTGACAAGTGATAGGTAAGTAAGTATTGAACTATGGCAATTTCCTGTCCCAACTTTTTTGTTCCTACTACTACGACCAAATTATATACCTATAGCAAAGTGGGCAATATGCCCATGGGCTCCGTGACTCAAGGGGTCCCGTATATTATCGTCTGATTTCACAGGCAGTTTTGTTAATAGTACTGTAATCATATATAGGGACAAGACAGGATAGATAAGGGCCCCTATGGTGGCTGTGCCAAGGGCCTCCAAAAGACCTTAATCCCTGCCTACTACTCCCACCCTCCTATTTTAATGACAGGGTGGGGTGACCTTCCTCCTTTAGACAAAAATGTCAGTATCTCTAAGTACTGGAATTGTTCCAGCGGCAGTTGCAATCAATAGTGTTGCGTTGCTGAGTAATAGTATCAAGGCTAACGTGTTTAAACAATGTTTCTAATTTATGACCGTTTTTTGTTGCTCTCTGTAGAGGTTTGACAAAATGCGGGATGGGTTCGGGTGGGTGGGTGGTATTGTTGTAAGTAATTAAGAATTCAAAGGTTGTACATTACTTTTTTTAAACTGATAAAAAAAGGAACGTCTTTTGGCAGTGGTGGAGATAAAAAAGAACAATCGAAAATATATGATTCGGCAGAAATACATGATTAAATATTTTCTGATTAACAGACAACCGATGACGTGACAATATCTTTCCATCCAAATAAATGAAGGAGTGATTTTCTAGTCTTTTAAGTTGATAAAGAAAGACGCTAAAATTTAATGATTAATCTTTTTTTCCTTCAAAATAATATGAATTTTTGCGACAGTTCACTAACATATTATCATCGGCGTTTACATGCTTGTATAAAATCATAGGCACTTACATGCTTGTAAAAAAAACCCAACTTATTACAAATATTCAAATGTATGTTGTATTTTAAAAACTGTATTGACAATGTATACGCGTGCGGACAATAATTATACTGTTAGAAATTATTTACAACAAGAATACCCAACTTCATCGAAAAATGGCAAATACATAAACATTTTGAAAAATAAATAAATTTGGATATAACCTTTCTAACCGTACCCAAAGCATGTTTTACGGACTGCAATATGGACGTACTCAGACTGAGTGAAGTAAGACACATGAGAACACTCGATGCCGAGCTAAAAACCTTGAAACTATCGTGGAGAGAAGGAAAGAAAGTGGCACAGGACAGAGACCTACGAAGGGCTGCGGGTGAACGCTTTATGTGTCTACTAGGCACGAAGAGAATTAAAACTTTAAAAAAATATTTGTGAAAATTAGCAAATTTCGAGAAAAGTTATGTTTTTGAACAATTACGGTAATTATTGTCAATTTATCTAACATGCAGATTTAAAGCAAAACTTAATTCCCAGCATATGATATGCAGACTTGGAGAGACTCAGAAAAATAACCATATCTTTGAAACGGAGAGAAATACATATCCATCATTTGTAATTTTACATCAGTTTTCTATTAGACATAAGATCATCGAGTTTGTCTATCTTACAATTTGTGTCTTCTTCAATTTATGGTACATCATAGAATGTTGGGGAGGGGTCTGATTTTTTTTTTTATCCACAGTTCTTTATATGTGGGCTCATCGCAGACAGGCCTTTGAGAAATTCCTACATGTGGCCGACAATTTTAGAGAATTTTATATCCTTCTGTATCCCCCTTCAGGTTTATTTATTAGTTTTAGAGTAGCAGGTCGATCTTTTCTTAGGAATTTTGTTAGTACTTGCCAAAGTTCCCAGGCTGGATCGTCGACGTTAACAAACTATAGAAGAAGAGATTATTGGAGTTGTACTTACCTCCTTCGACACTTGTCTAAGGATAGTTTCCTTCCCTCTCGGCCCGTTGTAATTGTTTGCCAGACGATTTCCTTATTGCCCTGTGTTTGCAATATTTTGTATGCTATATTACTTGTTCGTGCATGTGTTTGTGTTAGGGCAGGCATCTAAATTTAATGCGGGGCACATAAACCATATAAACTAAGATGTCTAACATTCCCTTTTTTTTTGGTAGGATTTAGGAAAAAAGAGGAGTGGAAGAATTTGTCAATTTGCAACTTCCGCATCTTGTATCGATAATTTCCAAATAATTTTCTCCTGCCTAATGGATAGACATTTGTTTTTGTCTAAAGCGAACAATAAGAAATAATTCATGAAACAAAACCTTTTTTCGGTGTTATATGTTTTGTCGTGCATGCATTTTGTACATGTGTGTGTGTCACTCCTGTTCCCAGTTTCAGGTGTTGGATTTATTTCTGTATTCTCCCCTACCGGCCTGACCCGTGTGTTTCTGTTCCGGTCTGTAAATTTGTGTGTACCCATGTGCTTTCGCTAATACTATATTAGAATGTTGGTTTCCTATTTTTGTGTATGGTGTATGTTAGTTCCTAAATATGTTCTTCCATCACCTCGAGTCTGGACTATTGAAAGATCTCGTGACTTTTACTTGTATACTTTCAACCTTAATGTAATTTTCTTTTCTTCCAGAAATCCCAACCAAAGCCTCGACATGTGAGAGAGTGGCACACAGCCCGCGCACTGGCTGGTAACGCCTTCTATGCTGTGCGATGAACCGGAGCCTACCCTCACCCCACAGAGTTCACATCACCATTGGAATTCCCAGAAAGGGTTATTAATTTTGATTATATGCGAACATGTCTGTTTGTTTTTAAAATTATTACCTGTCCACATTTATACATAGTTTCGGTAATATAGCCAATCACTTTGTATAATATTTTCATATATTGGCAATTTGGTCTAAATATAAACAATTGTTGTCATGATATCTCCATTTTAAACCTGTTATGTTTAAATAACATCTCATTCAGTTTGGTTGGCAACACATTGCTCCATAACGTGCTTAGTCGTGAAAGTCCCTGCTTTACATAGCACTAATTTGGGCAAAAATATTTTCATGTCTTCTTATTGCTACCTCTCCGGTTAACCGTACATTATGAATATATTAAAACATCATGCTTTGTATCTTTAGTGGTTTAATTTCAGTCCACATTTTCCAAACCTCTGTCCACTAAACCATTGTCCTTTTACTATTATAGACTGTGTGTTCTTCCCTTATCTTGTTATAAACGTTAATATTGTCTTTTCCCTCCATATATATTGTTTTTCCCTATACTTCACAGGCGGTTGCTTCATGTACTGATAATGTTTTTAGCTTTCTCTCTTAGCATTCTTCACCAAAACCACCCCTAGGGCCTTAACGGTTTCCTTAATTAGGTGGACGGGGGAATTATGGATGACTCCCACTCCAATATCTTATCAGTTGAAAGAATTTCTGCGTGATCATGATTTATTCTTGACCTTGATGTGCTTTTCCAAATCATTCAATTTATTTCTAGACGATTAAAAAAAATTGGAGTCATTGATTAAGTTTGTACAATTGTTTGCGTGTTTTCAATCTTTAATGTTGCTATTTTCTCTAATCTGGGAGCTAATTGTTTCTATTGCTATTACGTATAATCTCATTGACATTGTACAGATCTTTCCACATCAAAATTTAAAGTCGTCTCTCCACTGACCTGTACTTCTGAGAAAATTTTACAGCAAACAATTTTAGTACAATTCCAGAAAATCCCTGGGAAACCAAATTTTTCTAAAGCCACATCAATATATTTGTGTTCCAATCTGTTAAATGCCTTTTTTTTTGATAAGCTAGTATCATTGCTCCCTTATCCCCAGTTCTAGTTTTGAGTGCTGCCGTCTGTTCATCGCTTGCACATTTGGTTTTAGAGGACAACAGTTTTACATCTGATGGTTTTTGACACCCAACCAGTCCCTTCCAATTAGAATTGCCCGTGATGTAAGCCTCACAAAAATGTTCAGCATAAAACTTACGCGTTTCAAAGATTTTGTTTTAAACATACTAGTTCTTAAACTACATGGGTCCAAAATATATTCTGATTTCCATTTTATATATATATATATATATATATATATATATATATATATATATATATATATATATATATATATATATATATATATATATATCCTTTTTTGGACGAAATTTGTCAGTTTTGATAGTTCTTTCTGGCTTGTATGCTTTTTCCAGCATTAGATCCTTAAGTCACTAATTATTTTGAGGTTGACAAGCCTTAAATCTGTACATCGTCACGCTTCATTGAAACATAAAGTGTCATCAACATTAATATGTGTGTGTGTGTGATTATGATTTTTAACGTAGCTTTAACAATTTTTCAGTCATATCGCTACGATGTCTGCAGTGTGGCAGTTTATAGTGATGTCTAGCACTGGGGCATCATGCCGCAGACATTTGGCAGGATATCCCACCCAGTCACATTATCCTGACCACCAGGCCAACCAGTCCTATCACTAACCTCTTAATGCTGAGCGCCAAGCAAGGTAGCTGTTAGTACCATTTTTGTAAGTCTTTGGTATGACTCTACCGGGGATCGTACCCACGACCTCCTGCATCCGAGGCTTACGCTCTAACCACTAGGCCACCGGAGCCGTTCAACATTAATATAACCGACCTGATCGAAAATTCTGTCCACTATACCAAATATGACCTCTATAATAACTTCCCATAGTTTAGGACCTCGCTTTGTCTAAATCCGGCACTGGACAGAGGCATATATATATATATATATATATATATATATATATATATATATATATATATATATATATATATATATATATATATATATATATATATATATATATATATATATATATATATATATATATATATATATATATATAAGAACATAAATCTATCACGCCAAAATTCGACTAAAGTTTTTTTTTTTTTTTTTAGGCATGAGAGAATAAATATCTTTTCAAGGCAATGCAGTGGCCCTGAAAAGGCCTTTGTTTTTTTTTGTTGTTTTTTTTGTTAACACTATTCATTTAACATAGAGGGTATAGCAATGATCTTCGTACCTTCCTCAAACTTCGTCTGACCTCTGGACCATAGATTAGGACTCGCTTCAGACAGCTTTGCCTCTCCACATAGAACCTTCGTTTTCAAAAGGTTTTATCAGTCATCTGGTTCGTAGTCCATGATAATCTGACATACATGGGATAATCCGGGTTGAACAGTATCGACGAAAGGAGGGTAGTCCAGATCTAGGGACGAGAACAGGTGAATGCAATGAAGTGAACCGCAGTTATTTATAGTGTAAGACCGGATCGACCCAATCCTAACACGCGTTAAAAAAAATTCGGTTACAGAACGGAGTCTGTCTTCCAATCCGAAGAGAACTGTCAGTGACGTCACATTCCCTGTGCACAAAGAATCAATGCGACAGAGTTAGAACAAGACGGCAAGTAAGAAGAGTAAATGGGCAAGGCTAAAATCACCTGCCGTACAAAGTAAAATATTTTACTACTTACATGATAGATGGATGACAGGTGAAACAGCTTACATAAGGCATTTAACGACCAGTCTTCCTAAATGTAGGCTTTGTAACAGAAACATAGATTCTAAAAGGCACCTAATCTTAAAATGTTCAAAAACAATAAAGAGAGGGAAGAAATTAAATTACAAATTATAAAGAAATATGGGAAATTTGAAAATGCTCACTTACTATACATGAATGAAATAAATGACAACAATTTTTTTTAAATAAAATAAAATGCTTTATCAATACTATCATGAAAACGGTAAGATAATACAAATAAGATGTTTTACACATCCCCTTCAGATATTCTACCTGCGAGATCTGCTTGACAATCTGAAGATTCTATACCTCCAGACCACTAACTTCGCTTATACTGTACTTATTATATACTTACTATATCTATTCAAATATTATTACTTTGTATAGAAACGAAGAAAAAATAAAATTACTAGATCTGATCTGGATATTCAGAATTTGAGATATATTATAAATTATAAATTGCACATATATAAACATTAACGTCTAAAAGATAAATTATGTTAATTATAACATAAATGTAAATAGAGCAAATTGTGCAACATGCACACATTGTGCTCAAGATTGAGAGCACAGGTTGTGTACATATGCCATGAGCCTAAAGATATGATCATAGTTTCAAGCAGCTAATGCTTTTATTTAGATTAGTTTTCAAAACAAAAAAAAAACATAGAAAAGAACTATAAACCAATCAAAAACTGGGAAAACAACGAATTTGAATGGTGTTTAAATCCTATGTCAAAATTATAAAATCAAATATGTTCAATAATAATTCACGAAGCACATACACTTTGAAAAAAAAAACAGCAACAAGTATACATAAAAACCTTTTAACTTTATATCTAGGGGGTCCCTTAGATGATGTCAACTCTGAGAGGGACCACAACAATAAGACGAAAACTATGAAGACACTAGGTAGTACGGATCGTACTGGATCTCTCCAAAGGCAGGGCTAGCAACAAGAACATCACGAAAATACACACACACACACACACACACACACACACACAAGCACAAACACAGACACACGGAATAAACTAAAATACGAGGCATAAAGACATTATGTACACATCTAACATACAGATACTATCATCTACTTTTCTACTTAGCTTCCTTTCTACGCAAACATACACTAAATTACATTATAGGTTCCATAGACCGGGAAGCACAGAACAAACAACTAAGTCATCCGAGAACTATCCGAGTATAACGGAAGCACTAATTAAATAACAACTCAATGAATTTGATCCATTACAACCAGTCCATACAAAGCAAAAGATAACACATAAAACAAATAGCACACACACACACACACACACACACACACACACACACAGCAAACACTGGACGCAACTGATCCCTGGCAAGGATAACTATATGTAAATAAACTCCAAGACCCGCCAGGTCGCTAGAATAAGGAAGGTGTGCAAACCCTAAAACAAAATTTTTAAAACCGAACATCTGATAAATTTAATACAACAAACGCTTATGTGATGGGGAAAACACAAACATAAAATCCTTTTAATTTTTGCACTGGGGTGGGGTCTTTTCTATGATTCAAGTCTGAGAAGGACCAACCAATAAATAAGAACACAATGAAATGGGGTGCACTGGTTATATAAAAGAGGAGTGATGCATAGCAGAGGCTACAAAGCACATACAGTTCTACTTCCCGAAGAGAAAGATTTTAATTGGTATTTAATTGATTCTTCACAAGAATTTGTCAGACCTTCAACACCTTTTCCTTCTTTTCCGTATGTCACTTATTTTGAACAGAGACAGAAAGAAGAAATAAAGAATATTTTGCAACAGCAGAAATAAGCAGAACAAACCTTTCTCATTGAACAGCAACAGCAAGAAGAGGCAAGAAGAAAACGACAGAAAGAAAAAGCAGAAAAGAAAGAAGGTCTAGGAGAGAAGGAAGACGATGACAGTCAAACTTGGCAGAGTTAAGAAATCTGAAACAAATGTATCAGAGATCTTTAATACGGCCCAAGAGATAAAGACTTTTCTGATCCAAAAAGTCCAACTACGTCAAAACATCTACTACACCTGAAATATTAACATCAGTGATTTCTACCAAATCATCTCCAGTAGTAGGTCCAGGAGTAGGCCTTGGCCATGCATAAGGCATAAGACAGTTAAAGCTGATTACTTCCCGTTCCCGAGTTTGTTTTTTATTTAAAAACCATCAGGACCACCCATCTATCTAGAAAAGAGCTTATTCAGTGTTTGCCAAAGTCAATTATAATTCAAAGTCGGTTTTCCTTCGATGATGGAGGTGTGTGAGTGCGTGAGTTTAGGTTCTTTCTGGTATATTCTCTGGTACAAATTTACAATCCAATTTCATAACACATCACTTCAAACAATTAATAGACTTCGTCTTTCCACTCTCTCAGTTTTTTAATTTCTTCACTGTCACATGTTTTCATCTTCTTTCTCACTTTCTTCGCGTCTTCTTTTATTCTCTTTCTTGACGTGTCTGGGTTCATCCTTTTCGGAGGGTACTTCTTCTTACTGTTCGGAACCACTCTCTCCGTTCTGCTTCTGTTGTTTCTTAGGGCATTCTAAAGATCAACGTCGTTTTTCTTGACAATGATAACAGGTATCTTGACTTTTGTTTCTTTTGACACCTGTTTTGCTTTGACGTAGTGGACATTTGCATGACCAATGCCATTTTCTCTGACAGATATAGCAAGTTTTTTGATTTTTATCTTGTGTTGGCTCGTCCTTCTTTCTGGTAGGATTGAGAGTGAATGAATAATTTGAGGGAAGGCACTGACCCTTGATATAGGGAAGACACTAATCTTACATTGATATGTAGGGGGCCATGGCCTTTAAAATATAATCATTTGACCCTTTGCAATCAAGATGAACTTCCAGCGATTTTGAAGACGACATGAGTGAGTCTAAATCCAAGGAGTCTATGTTAAACCAAAGTCCACCAACAGACCCCTGAAAACTACTATCGCATTCGAGAGATGGATAAACGCTCCTATATAAAATTTAAAACCTCGGCCTACACTTACTTAGTAAAGTTTAAAGATTTCAAGTCAGACATACCGATGGAGAAAGCAGAGGGGTTCATAACCGATTTCTAGGATTCTTTGTTAACCACGCAAAAACGACAATGCCGAGCCAACAAAGATGATCGCTTGATACTCCCCATTTATCACGACGGTCTGAAGTCGTCTGTTTGGATCGTGTTTAGAAGACCATCAGAACTAACACCTACCAAAGTCATCGATAAGATTCAACACGTACAGCAGTCCAACGACAAGTTTTACATCACTGATGGAAAAGCGACACTGCCATGGCACATGTTTCTCTTCCCAAATGTACCGGAAGCAAAAAGGTGTTATTGGTGGACGGCCTTCATAGCACTGAAAAGAGCATCGTCCAAATTAACAACCCTCAAGACTAGATGTATTTAGCCCGAGCCATCGTGGCGAGATCAACGTATATGGACAACAGCGACACGGCAAAATGAAAAAGATCCTGGAAAACTATTCAACGAACGGGAAAAGCTAAACAACAAAGAGAAGAAGAACTCATGTTACAGTAAGCTGGCCTATCCAACGACACCCTTTGGCAATCCTGAATTGCAAAAATTGCAAGATGCCTTAGGTCAGCGCTACTTCTTGAAAGTACACCCACAAGAAGTGAGCTGACCCCTGCTGTTTCGACACAAACATTTCAAAGACGGAAACTATATTCACGTCTATTATCATGATGAACTTTTCCATGCAATTACCAGTATCACCGGATTTCTGAGATACAGTTATTATTACGAAAAATATGACTATGGATATAACAATCGAGAGCAACACAAGCATTGCGGATCGAAATGTCCAGGATCTTTGGCCTCCTTAACCATGCATTGACGAAGGACAAAATCAAGTGTATTGCTCAGTTTGTCATCGTACTTTTGTCAGAACTACCTGTTACCAACAATATCTGAATACGCAAGATTAACAGCAGAAAAGCGCTTATCAGCTCCTGAAAAGCTGTTCTGCTTGCGAAAAAGTCATACATATCAATAGTGCCAAGGAACACGTATTTTCAGGAA